TATTTTCCCGTCCGAATCATCAATTTAAGTTATTTTTTGCCATTTTTAGTAATATTTCGATTTCCTTTTTGATGTAGATTACGATCTCAAATTTAGCCAAATTTTTGGGATCGTCTTCCTTTCATTACGTATTTCGTTTTGGTTTGAATAATAGAATTTTGCTATTTTTGGCAAATTTCGATAATTAATAATTTATGCTGCGTTATCTACAAGACATGCCGAAGATGAGAATGTTAACGCCGGAGATTCACATTTTTTGGGCTCCGCCTCCGCCGCGTTGGAATAAGAGGAAACCGGGTAAATGAAATGAAAGTGGGGGCTCTGTACCTTTTCTTTTTCATTTTGGCGCCTCCTATTTCTTTTATTTGTTTTACTATCACAGCCGTCCATTACCATTTGATCTCCACATTACACGTCACTTTGTCATCCAACTTTGTCAATGAATTTTGTACAAACAACATTATTGTTTCTACAAATAGTAGACATACTTAAAAATTGAGTAAGTTGCATATACTCCCCAATCTTATTCTTTTCTTTTTGCAGCTTATTTTCAACCACATTCACGTAAAAAGAGAAGAGTATTCAACCATAGCACTCCCCTACCCTCAAAACCATCAAAAAGCTAATCCCTAGTTATTTTGCAGATGTTACCATTAAACATATCAAAATGTTGTTTCAAAATTGTTACGTCATTGTTTTTACGTCAACAAATAACATATTGCAAGAGAGTTCAAGAGGATTTATTTGCGAGAATTAAAATTTAAAGGTGTAAAGCTGATCAACTGGGCCCGGCCAAAATATTTCCCATGGGCCAGATCCAATTTGACTACAGGCCACATTTTGTATCGGGCCAACCAAATCTTGGGCTGCCCGAGCCCAGTACTGTATGTTGAAGAAATTCTTCTTCATAATATACAAATCCAAATTACAAGGAAAAAAAAGTTTTGATAAATTCACAAATTTGTGATTCATGGCAGATTCCAGTCTAAGCTCAAAAGGCTTATTATTTCACACACAGAAATTCCTTCAAGCCCTGTATTATATATACATTAACACACTCAATATTTGAACAAATCCAAAGCAAACCCTAAGGTTTCCATCCTAGCTCCAGCAGCGCAGTTTTGGCTCCCGTGTCCACTTTCCTCTGCCTTGTAGCATTTGAAATATTGATTTTGCCAATATTCTGAGGCTTCATCCTCAAATGGCTAACGCGTTTATTTTCAGTTTTATTACTTTTAATGGATGGAGGGTGAGCTCGATTTGATCGAAGTGTCTTTTCCCAATCAAACTTCTTATTATTTGCCGGTGTAGCAGTCATTGGATTTGGAGGTGTTTTTTCTTGAATATTTGCTTGTTTTTTAATTTCCTTTATTTGAATGGGGGTTCCTCCTTCCATTTTAATGCTTATGTTAACTTCAGACAGCATTTTTCTTGTAGATTTAGGGTTGGTTTCTGTATTAGTATGTCTTTCTTTCTGGTGCTCATAAAGCCTATGCAATCTCAGAGCAAGATGGTAAATTCCATCCTTGATTTCTTCCTCCAAGTCTTGTTCAACGTCGTTCTCCAGCTCGTTACGAATCTTCAACTCCTCGATCGACATGTTAATACTGTTAAGAGTGGAAATATAGACTTTTTTCTCCTGAAAATTTTCAAATAATTAGGGCAATAACCTTTATGACATGTTTAGATCATTACATAGGATGAAACACTACAATCATTTTTATTTGTTTGTACGGTCTAGTCCACTTTACGAAACATTCCATCAGTGTATGTGTGGAATGCTGGACATGATACAAAATTGATTCGGTTAAGGTTAAGGAAGAGAGACGTGACAAAATTTATTAGTTGTGCTGTACAATTTTATCAAGTTCAATGTACATGCAATTGAAAACTATGTATTATTGCTCGAAATACATATTGCATGGAAACAAAATGCAATGCGACATGACACGTGAAAATGCTTTTAAGAAAAATGGTGGTGCGAAAACATCGTACAAAAAATATAAATATTTAATTAAAATAACATTTTTAATACTAATTCACAAACTAATCAATTTTTAATTTAATGAAGTAAGAATTAAAGCATGAAAGTGTGTAAATTTGTAGTTGATATCCGTAATTAAATTATTTCTTAGTCAAAATACACAAAAAGTCCATAATAATGTGAAATTCTTAATTGATTGAGATTTCAAAAAATTTGTTAAAAAATTTCGAAGAGTTTTCTCAACGATTTCAAAATTTAATAAAAGAATAATAGAAAACATTTTTAGAGTTTCGGAGGAGTTTCTGATTGAACTTTCTGCGCAACGTAGCTCAGAACATTTATAGCCTTTTGGTTTAATTAAAAAAAGTTCATAAAAATCTAAATTAATTTTAATCACACATTTCACACGACCCACAACTTTTATAAAGTTTTCAACTACAAATTTCATCAACTTTCATCAGAATCTACTAAAAAATTGATTTTTTTGCCAAACCGATCAAGGGTTTACACCGCACTTCACAAGGATCTCGAACAAGATAAGTAAAAATACTCCGAGTTTGATAAAAGTTAATGAAAAGAGACATAAGGAAAAACCTGTGATGTAATACAGCAAATGAGAAGTAGACGAAAATCCCAGCTCCAGAAATTTGATGAACCCTAATCAATATATTCTTTAGAGTAATGCTCCATATTTTAGATAAGAATGTGCTATGATTTGCTTTGTTACATGCAAAACGTTTATATAAAAGTATACAGTGAAAGAGACTACAAGGATTTAGGACCAGTTACCTGTCGCCTAGAAATGAATACGACATAGGATGGAATATTTAAGGATAGAGAAGATGATTGATGTCTTAATCTCAAAAAACTGAATCAAATTATGCTCTAAATGTGTCTGCGTAAAATGGGAATTTAGGGTAGAAATTTTGAAGGAAATTTTGTGGGTATTATCACTTTACGCGGAAGTTATATATTTTTTTGTGTTCTCTTAAAGCAGAATCAAGATTTGAGAGTAACCTTTGCACATGCTGATGTGAATGTTCAGAGAAAGAGTTGCATAAGCGAGAAGGAAAAACACGCTTCTATCATACTATGTCATTAGTTGTCATAGTGATTTTTCTATTCATAATATGATTTTTTTTTTTTTTTTGAGACATCAAAAAGATTGAGGTTGATTCAAATTATTGAAAGAAATTAAAGAACTGCATATTATTTCATAATGGGTGTATTGGACCAAATCGACGACTTGAGGTCCATTGCTGACAAGAATAAATCCGTCTAAATTATGATCGAGATATAGTTGCAGTTTTGCTACATGTACATTGTGGCTGACATTAAGTTTGACATGGCAGCAATCATGGTCATTGATTAAACTAACTCTCCTTCAAATCACTGGTTAGATTTCTCACATATCGGGAGATGTCTAACTGGATGTACAAAACTAATGTACAGGTAGATTAATTCATATATTTTAGATCATTCCTCGAATATGTGAGTGATTGACTCGTGGACTCGTCAATTGGTCCAACCCGACGTGTTTAATTTTTTCGGGTGAAATGTTTGAAGTGTTGTAATAATAACAAGCAATCAAGTAATTTCGTCCACTATCGAAGAAATAATATTTTTGTGGACGGCCTAGGCTTGAACGAGATGTTAAAAGTTTTGCTACCACTTATGCATCTTGTGTGAGCAGTCGAGTCACTCCAAGATCTCCTTTAGAGGTCGATCGCTCATCACTACAATTGCGTTGGTGGCCAGCCGTGATTAGTGCTATCAGCAATTCAAATCATGGGAACATGTAAAAATTGATTTTCTACCTACTTCGAGAAAATGGCCTTTGTACGAAATAAAAAGTGTTATTTGGGTAATAATGAAGAATGATTTTCCAATAAAAATAAAATATTTGTTTTATTTTATTTTTCTTGCAAAAAAGATAAACGGGCTTAGATAGAAGCCCAAGACTAGTCTAATTTCAGACCCACGGCCTTAATTTTGGCCCATGGATTGAGCCCGAGTAGATGATCAATTTACACATCCCTTAAACAAATTAAAAGGTCTTATATAAAAGGGAAAAATTCATAAGTAAGAGGATAAGTATCTCCTATTTCAAAATTAAGCAAACAAGTATGGAATTTCAAAAATCAGATTTTTATTAAAATTTTGTATGATTTAATTAATCAATTAAATTTAATAAATATAATAATGTCATAATTATACAATTAATGGTCACATGTACATAATTAATTGGTCAAAGATTATTTTTGGAATCACAAATCAAAAATTTTATAGATCACGAATTATTTCGAAATCACAAATCAAAAATTTTAATTGTCACGAATTATTTCGAGGTCACATATTAAAATTTTTGGAGGTCACGAATTATTTCAAGGTCAC